CTGCAGCCTCAAACTCCTGGGCTCAAGTTATCCTCCCACCTCAGCTTCCTCAGTAGCTGGGACTACAGGCTCATGTCCCCACACCTGGCTACTTTTTTAAACATTTTTGTTTGTTTGTTTCTAAAGATGAGAGTCTTGCTATGTTGTCCAGGCTGGTCTTGAACTCCTGGGCATAAACCATTCTCCTGCCTCAGCCTCCCAAAGTGCTGAGATTATAGGTGTGAGCCACTGGGCCCAGGCTTAGTCATATTTGAAATTGGTTTTTGATTGTATGATAGTGTGTATAGGTAACATATTCCCGTGGATCAAAAGTAACAAGATTTAAAGGGGCATACAGTAGAAGGTCTCCCTCTTATCCCTGTATCCAGTCACTAGTTTTCTGCCCAGAAAGCAACCAGTTTATCAGGTTTTTTGTGTATAATCACTTTAGAGAGATGCCAGAAATATAGTATCCCTTTAAACCATTTGTAACTTATGTTTTTTTTCCACTTTAACTGTATCATGGAGATGATTCTCTGTCAGTACATTAAGACCATTTAATTCTCTTTTATGGTTGTATTGTACTTTACTCCATCATGCAGATATGTTATCATTTATTATATTAATCTCTATTGACACATATATTTAGGTTGCGAACAGTTTTTGGTTCTTAATGGCAGTATTTGAGTAAATAAACTCGCACATTCACATGTGTACATAGGTAGGATAAACTCCTAAAAATAGAATTACTTCTTTCACCCTTTTAAAGGAATTGTTTAATGAACCTCCAGAGTTGTACACGTTTCCATTCCCCTCACCATTATGTGACAATGAACCTTTTCCCATTCCCCCACTAACGGTATGTTATCAACCTTTAGCTTGTTTGTATCTGAAAGGTGAAAAGGGGTATCTCAGTTTGGTTTTACTTGCTTTTGTCTTAATATGCATGAGGCTAAGTGTATTTTATATAAGAATCTGATTTACCTTTTCAGAGGTTTCTCTACCCGTATCTTTGGCTGCTTTTCCTGTTGAATTGTTCTCTTATTAATTGTTGAAACTCTCTCTGTATTAGGGAGATAGTCTTTTGTTCATAGTAGGAGCTATGCACTTTTGCCCAGTTTGTCTTTTACCTTCCCTGTGGTGTTTTGTGTGTGTGTGTGTGTGTGTGTGGTTTTTTTTGGCCATGTCATTCACATTATTTTTATGTAGTTAAATTAATCAGTGTTTCTAAATCATCTTTTTGGTTTGTGTTATACTTAGATACAATCTTCCACTCTGAGATTAGTTTTAAACATCTCTCATATTTCTTATAGTACCTTTACATTTAAATATTTGATTCATTTGAAATTGATTCTGATCTAAGACGTGAGAAATGCCTTCAGCTTTATTTTTTTTTTTTCCAGTTGGTGGTGGTTCCAACCAACGTGTTCCAAAACATTTATGAAGTAATTTTTTTCCCTACTTATTTAGAATAATCCCATTATCATATACTGTATTCTTACATGTTTTGAGTCAATTTCTTGACTTGCTATGCTATTACACTGGTATATCTGTAGACATTTGCTACTAGTATGTGTTTTAATTATTAGCATAATACTTTTTAATATCTAAAGGGCTGATTCCCTATCACTGCAGGATGCATTTTTAAAGCAACAGCATAATTTGTTTCCCATTTATATTTACGTAATAACTTACATGATTTATACTCATATGATCACATTTTTTCTCCTCCTGTTGCTTTCCCCATGTGTAGTATCAGAAAGCTGGTAAATTCCAAAATAATGAGATACAAGTTCAGCTGAGATTATGAGGCCGGGCTTCCCATAATTGTCAATTAATGTGTTTTGGATCTTATAAAGGAGGACATCTTTAGACAAAGGTTCTTAAGCAGCAAATGCACAATGTTTACTTGGACCAAGGTCCAAAGGGAAGAGAGTACTGTGAATAGAGGGAGGGAGTGTCCCTGAAATCATATGGCACATGTATGTTTAAATTAACAAAGGATAGACTGACGATTTCAAAGGTCCTGTAGCTTTTACACTCTGGATTAACTGTAGTTCCTTAATGTGTTGGAAATAGAACTTTCAGAAGTTAAGCCAGTGAGGCAAAACACGCAATAATTCCCTTCTCCTAGGCTGACCATAGTTTTATGAAAATGAATTTTTAAGTATCTTTTCTTTGCATGAGGCTTCTTGGCAAGAAATAAAATCTGTATAATGCATTACCTCTGGCTTTTTCCTTAAAGAGCTCAAGGATAGACATATGGATAATAGCTTAAAAATATAAATATGGTCTTTCCAGTCATAGAAACCTTCCGATCCAAGAGGTGCTTTTCCCACTTTCCAAAAAATACAGGGCTATATACACATACCCATAAGGCACCAAGGCAAAATACATGGTATTTGACGCTAAAAAAAACCCACTGAACTTTTCTTGAGTATTGCAGCCCTGTGATCAGACAGAGTGACTTGTAGTCAAATCTAGATGCCAAGTTGCTGTGTCACCTTCTAGCCAGTAAGTCCTGTAACTAAGCATTTTTGTTTGGTAAAATTATAGAAGGGATGCTGTTGGGTAAGATATTTTGTTCTATTTTGGTACCTATAGTTTATCTAGGAAAATGGCTGTCACTTGGTTTTCTCACATACTTACTTCATTTGTCTGTTTGAATGTGTGCACAGGGAGAAGTGAGTATTTATAGTGTCTTTCTAAGGAACAGTTATCCACTCCCACCCCAGGATAGACTTTCCTGATCTCTAGCAGTCTCTTTAATGAGTCCACACTGGGGGAGGCATGATACTTTCTGGTTTATGCACATATATAGGTTGGCAGTGTGGAATTTATGAATGCTTCATTAGGAAAGGCCACTGCCAATATAGGATTTGTTTTGAAAAGAGTTGTCTAAGCGGCCTTCTTTTACCAAGCATGCAAATATGAACTTGTTAACTTTATTGGGATAAGACTTACAGATAGTAATATAAGGATTACAAGTTGCATAGTCAAAATCATCATAAATAGTCTAAGTAATACAGTGATAGGGCCTGCGTCAGATGTCATTCGTGGAGGTAAAGATATTTTTATGAAGTGGCGAATTGTGGAATACTTGTTACATTTCCTTGATAAAGTGTAAGTCCTTCACAGTTAAAAGCAATTCTTGCTTATCTTCGTATTTCTAACACAGTACCTAGCACTTGTTTGTTGAATGAATGAATGAGTGAATGAACTGCATTTTTTTTTTTGTTTTTTTGGAGTGAAGGATGGTGGAATGAACTGGCACCCCCCCCCCAACTGCCATCCCTGTAGCATTTAGGAAATGTAACGGAGGATTGCAGTGAGTGAATGGACTGCCTCGCCGGTACAGGCAACTCGTTCAGAAAAAAAAAAAAAAAAATTTTTTGAAATGAAGAGGTTAAAATGTTTCCTGGAAATAGAAAATGTACATGCACACCCATCATTGCTGCTCTACTTTGATTGAGAAGGATGCCTTAGGATCCCTTCTCCTCCGGTAATCTTTTAATTGAGTAGGTGAGAGAGGTTTTAAAATGTTCACTGAATGGCTGGATATGGAATTACAGCAGTGGACTACAAAGCCCGCTTCCTCCCCACTCATTTTTTAATTCCGTTGTAGAGAGGAGGGATAAATGGTGGAATAAAACATTCCAGAGCATTGTGACTCAATGAGCTATCACCAGAAGAAATCAAACAAAGGAGCATTTGGGCACAAATTGAAGAACGCCACCAGGGCTGTTTCTGCATTCGAGACATCCCACTAAAACTGCAACATGCTTATTTTTGCGTTGCCATAAGGATAATCTGTGTTAAAGAAAGTGTTCGCATACATACCCCTACCACTAGGTTATACATTCTGCATTAGACTCAAGGGTTCTGGTTACTTTGTTTAAACAAGTTTATAACTAAATATTGAGACTTTTCTCAAATAGGGCCTGTTTGAATTTTAGAGCTGGCAGGGAGCCTGTGGCTCAGGAAATTGAGTGGCTTCTCCAATTCTGTGCCAGAGATAGGACTAGGGATTTGATTTGGTTTTTCTAATTCTCCACATAGTGCTTTTCCACCGCACGGTGTTGTAGAAAGCCATTTTTAAAAAATTGTGATCCTGGAGCATTTTGCTCCCAGAAAGTTTTAAAAAATTGATGCATACTTGAAGTCAGGAATTATAAACTGTGGCAGGTGGAACAAAATCCAGCCTGGTTTTGTATATAAAGTTTTATTGGAACACATTCGCTTCCATTCATTTATATATCATCTACGGTGCTGCAATGGCAAAATGAGTGATTGCATCAGAGACCATGTGACCTGCAAAGCCTAAAATATTTATTTTTTGGACCTTTATAGAAAAAGTTGACTAGCCCTTAGCATAAAGTAAGGATGAAAAATTACCTTAAAAAGTTAACATTACCAATTTTTAGTAAATTGGAAGTAAATAGGATTTTTGAGAAAGCAAAAAGGTTAGCTTGTTGTTGAGAGATATAAATAATCTATACATCCCAGCACTTTGGGAGGCCGAGACGGGCGGATCACAAGGTCAGGAGATCGAGACCATCCTGGCTAACATGGTGAAACCCCGTCTCTACTAAAAAATACAAAAAAACTAGCCGGGCGAGGTGGCGGGCGCCTGTAGTCCCAGCTACTCGGGAGGCTGAGGCAGGAGAATGGCATAAACCCGGGAGGCGGAGCTTGCAGTGAGCTGAGATCCGGCCACTGCACTCCAGCCCGGGTGACAGAGCGAGACTCCGTCTCAAAAAACAAAAACAAAACAAAAAACCAAAATAATCTATACATAAAAAAACTAAAATCCCTACTTTCATTAAACAAACAAACACAAAAAACCCTGGGTTTCTAAGGAATCTCTGAGCACTTAGACTCAGAGATTTTAGTTGCCACAATGAAACCTGTGACTTAAATAGCATTGACTATTTAATAAGATGGGAAATGCCTCAGACTGTCATTTATGTTGTGCTAACCCTGATGGAACATGAATACTCACCAAATGTCCTTCTTGGCAGGTGGAATGGATCCAACAGCAAGTGGTAAAAAAGCGGACAAAGAGGGATTATGACTTCAGTCGTGCCCAGTCTACCTATTTCAATGATCCCAAGTGGCCCAGCATGTGGTATATGGTAAGCTTGCTAAGGAAGCCTGGCCTAGGGCCATGTCATCCAGTTTTGTATTATATGCAGAGAATCTACCGGACTTGGGAGGACACAGAAATACTGACCAGGGATCATTTCCTATCTTAATACCCACCATTTGAGATTGGTTAATGGCCTATGATGCTGTCTGGATTTTCTTTCTAACATAGCTTGTTGATTATAATAAAGAGAAAAAGAAGGGAGCTCCGATTCACAGAAATTCTGCTTGAGAGCTTACTTTATGCAGTAGCTTTCTAAGTTTGGGCCAGAGGATAGAAAAATATGCAAAGGTGCACACACCCTTAGACCTATCAATAATCATGTTCACCTCTGATACACATTTACTCCACCTTGAAACTAGTCTGGCTAATGCATACTGATTCTTGAACATCATTGAAATGACTCTGCTGGTAAGTAACAGACCCCAAACTTATATCATCTAATATGTATCCTCTCACTTTAGGTAATAACTTTGTAAAAGTAGACCAGGAAAAGAAATCGTTGGAAAGTGTTCGGTTTGGTAGTTCATGGTTCAAGCAAAAGATTTTTCAGTGAAGGAAACTTACTTAACATGTTGGGAAGAGTAATCCACCAGTTCACTTGGCATGGCCTCCTTTGAAAACATACATCTCTAATCTCTTAGGGATTTGAGGTCGTGATCACTGAGAAATGAATTTGAATATGTTATGTACTCTTACTCATGAAATCCACATGTCACCAATTTACTCTGTAATGTGTAAATCACCCTTTACTTTTTTCTGTCTTGAAAGTTTTTATTGCTAAACTTTGCCAGCATATTATTCACTATACTACTTTAGCTGTTGTATTCCTGTTTTAGTTTTTGTATTCCTGTTCTTGCTTTTTTTACAAAATGTCTCCAAACTGAAAGAAGGACATGAATCCATGGCATTCCCATAGCTGCCTCATGCTTTCCTGGCTCCCTGCCTCCCATTCCTTCTGCCTGGAGTACGTTCACTGCCCTTCCCCACCTCCTTGGGGCAGGATCCCCTGTCCTCAGAGTCCACACCTGAGGCTGACTGCTCTGGAAGACCTTCCCTATGTTCCTGTCTTTTATCATTTTCCCTCCTCTCATCTCTTGGACCCTCTCCCCGCTGCTCATGGCATCCATCATGGCACTTTACACTGTAGTTATTCATATTGTTTTTTAACCTTCCCCGTTGGACTTGGGGGTCACTTGACGGCAAGCTCTGCATCTTGATCCCTTTTTATATCTCCCCAGAAACCTAACCCAGCACTTTGTAAGGCTGGGAATTTGTGCTTATTTTGAGATGGGTGAATGTGGCTAGTATTTCTCTTAATTTCCCTTTCCTTGGTCTTACCCAGAAATGAAAGGTTATGGAAATATTTTGGACTCCAAACAGAATTTTATAGAGAAATCTTTCTCATGTTTAAGGGGAAAAAAGGGAGGAACCTTAAAGCTAAGTTCCAGGGGAGGTGGGAATCTAAGCATCATTTCGGTGGGAATCCCCTGAGGGACGGGAAGATAGGTGGCAGGTTATTAGCCCCAACACCCGCAGAGAGTGAACCCCAAGGGAAGGCATTGGAGGGAGCACTGGCAGGAGCTAAGGAGCTTTGTCTGCACTGACAAAATGATAAGAATGTAATGGGATTGAGATATAGGAGGAAACAAAGCTGCCTCTACACCCCTGTTTATAAGACCAGGTTGAGAGAGACCCTCTTTGCTTGTTCTCATAGGAAAGAGCCAAATTGCTGTCTGTGCATGATCCACTGGACAGTAGAACTATCTGGCAGCTTTCCCTGATCCTCTCTTCACCCCAGCAGGGCAGACTGAACTCTAGCAGGAGCCATGACCAAGGCTTTAGCCCTTTGGCTAGCCTGGTGGCTGAAGGTTTCAGTGCCTGCATAGTGAGATCTTGTCACTCTGAAGAACCACTATTATTTCATGTCTTTCTGACATGAGGAAAGACTGAGAGAAGAGCTTTTGATTGGCCATTTAACATGTTGGGTGTTTTACAATACGTATTTGATGATAATATTACAAATAGGTAACATTTATTGAGCACTTACTATGCGCCAGGCAATGTGCTAAGTCTTTATGAGGTTTTTTTGTTTTGTTTTGTTTTGTTTTTCTTTTTGGAGAGAGTCTCGCTGTGTCAGGCTGCAGTACAGTGATGTGGTCTCGGCTCACTGCAGCCTTGACCTCCTGGGCTCAAGCAATCCTCGCATCTCTGCCTCCCAAATAACTGGGACAACAAGTGCGCACTACCATGCTTGGTTAATTTCTGTAGTTTTTGTAGAAGAGGGGTTTCACCGTGTTGCCCAGGCTGATCTTGACCTCCTAGACTCAAGTGATCCTCCCACCTTAGCCTCCTAAATAGTTGGGACCACAGGTGCATGCCACCCTCCTTGGTTAATTTTTAAACTTTTTGTAGAGACACGGTCTCACTGTATTGCTCAGACTGGTCTTGAACTCCTGGGCTCAAATGATCCTCCCACTTAGCCTCCAAAGTATTGGGATTACATGTGTGAGCCACTGTGCCTGGCCATGAATATTTTTCTAATGCAGCTGGAACAAATGCGTGTGTTAAAATTGGCCCTAATTTAAAAATGAGAAATCTGTGAGGCTTATGAAATTTAGTTAACTTACCTAAGATCACCAAGCCTGAACGTGGTGGAGATGCCAAGGCAGGCAGGTTGATGCAGAGTCCACGGGATTAGCACAGCATCCTGTCTCCACCCTTCTGCTATTTACGGGTGCTGTGAGGAAGCCTCTGATCTATCCAGAGAGAAATGACTGAAACACACATGACAGAATGGTGGGTCCCCTGTAGGATGAACAAAGTATCTTGAGGACAACCAAAGTGCTTTACAGATTCCTGTTAAATGACTACTTTCCTTTAATAAAAGGGATGGGAAGCAGGTTCCATACCTTATGCTTCTCTGTTAGGACAGAACGAGGGGCAAGACTCTCAGATCTGCAAAGCTGGATGCCCATCCCCATTGCTTCACTTAGATTCTCCATGATTGAATTGGTCCAACTCTCCTCAACTGTAACATAAAAGTGTCTAGCTCTTATGTATGAGTGGTGTTTTGCTGCATAACAAAACTTAGTTTTGTTAGAACTTAGTTTTTAAAACAATTATCTCCCAGCCTGGGCAACACGATGAAGCCCCATCTGTACCAGAAATACAAAATTTAGCTGGGCGAAGTGGCATGCTCCTGTGGTCCCAGCTACCTGGGAGGCTAAGATGGGAAGATGCCTTGAAACCTGGGAGGCAGAGGTTGCAGTGAGCCATGATTGCACCACTGCACTCCAGCCTGGGTGATAGAATGAGACCCCCTCTCAAATTAAAAAAAACAAAACAATTATCTCATAGATTCTGAGGGTCAGGAATTCAGATGGAGCCCAGGGACAATGACTTTCCTCTGTTCTGGGATGTCTGGGGCTTCAGCTGGAAGACGCAAAGTCTTGGTGAGAGTGGGAGGATAGACTTCAAGGTGGCCCAGTCACAAAGCTGGCACATGGGTTCCTCGCTATGTGGGCCTCACCACAGGGCTGTGTGAGTGTCCACTTGCCATGGTACTGGCTTCCCAGGCAGGTGGTCCAAGAGGTCATGTTGGAAGTGGTGATGTCTTTTATGACATCTAACCTCAGACGTCACAGACCCTTATTTCTGTAGTTTTCTATTGGTCACAGGAGTCAACGCTGATTCAGTGTAACAGGGAACATGTATGGGTGATGTACTAGGAGGTGAGGAGTGTTGGGAGCCATCCTGGAGGCCGGCTACCACAATTAATGAAATTTTTAATGAGAAGGCTTTAACACAGTACCTGACACCAGAAAACCCTCAGTCAATCATAATTGTTATTATTCTCTGACTTCTTAATTGCAATACATGGTAGTTCCTTTTTACCTTTTACTTAAATTAGTCAAAGAAGGGTGAGAGCCCGTGTCCAGTGGGCATCCTTTGGAGTACTGTTTGGCAGCACATCACTGACACAACCCAGGCAGGGTGCTGATATCCTTCTTCCTTTTCCTGAGCCCTGGAGCTGCTGCTGTGTATCTGACCTCCGTAGGGTCCTGCCTCCAGCTCGTTAGCCTGGGCCCGCTTCTGTCATTCAATATTTATCACAGGAGAATGGAGATTAAAGAATGGCATGAAGTGTGCCTGAGTGTCTCTTTTAATTAACTTGAAAGTTTTTCCCATGTCGCTCCTCCCCTTGGAAACTGGTGTGCAAAATCATTATGTCTAGCCTTGAGGCTTGGGCAACATATTCAGGGAAAAGTGCTTTTATGAGTTTGTTATGGATATGATAGCTGTATAATTACTGCTCTATCCTGACATACTGTGTTGAGATTTCTAGGAGTTGGAGGGTTAATCCTAGAAATTCAACTCACTTCTGGTTGCATTGACAAACTTCTCCTGCATCTATTATTTGTTAGACATGGTGCTAAGTGCTGAGAGTTTAGAAAAACATGGTTTGTGCCTCCTAAGATTAATAAAGCATCAAAGAAAACTTGACTGGGCAAGCATCTCCCTGCTAAAAGTTTCTCTGGGATCATGTGCATACATTTAGCCTCTGCTGCCTGGACATTGGCCCTTAATTTTTGCTTGCAGATTTGTTTCTTCCATTAGAAGCTCCTGCAGAACTGTTAAACAAATCCAAGCTTGGGCCTTCCTTTAGGTTTTGGTGTGGAGTGGGGCTAAGGCAGTGGGATGTCATCAGAATTCCCCAGGTGATTCTAACGTGTAGTATGTGGTAAATGCTCAAAAAATTCTGATTGAATAAATAGATGAGCAAACTCTATAATAAAAGCAAACCTGTGTCATTTCCATGGTAGAGGACGCTTAGTGTGTGTCAAGCATTTTGCCACACTTTCATGTGTATTATCTTATCGCCAGTATTCCAGTGAGTTAATAACCACCGTTATTATCTTCATGTTATAGATGAGGAAATGAAAGCAAAGTTAAGTCACCTGCCCAAAGTCACACCATTTACCAGGG